AGGGAAGATGACGGGATGTTGCAACCCAGTGGAATGTATTTCGCTCGCCCTGGTCCCTTGAGGGGTGAAGTCCAGTTCGCTGATGCGAAACATACACGAAATGTATTCACCGAAGTCAAGACACAATGTTGGGTCACGTCAGGTGAAAACTGTGGCGAAACGAAATAAGTATGTTCTTGAGAATTTCGACATTGAAAATGACGTGCAGAGATTTTATTTTTTTTAAATATTTTAAAAAGATAACCTTTAATTTCCTTTGTTTCAATTCTTCAAACCCTATCAATATATAACTTTGAACTTATTCACACAAAACTAGAAATACTGATATGTTTTCGGTCAATACTGTCTCTCCTCTGTACCTAGGGACTCCCAATCCAATTTTCTTTTCAATACCTTGAGTACGGTTTCCCGTTTTCTTCGGTGTGCCGTTTCTCGTCAAATTCTCTATACTTGTATAAGTCGTACATTCCTTTGTCGCTTCACTCATGCTTTATCTCAGTCTTCTTTTGTTGATAACATTCACTGTCATTGATCCCCGTTCCTCAGCGCTTCTTCATTTAGTGTTCTCAACACCTTTGGTCTCCCATGTACTAATTTTATTTTCACGCCCTATATAGAGAGCAACTTAGCGGGTTCATTTGATTTTGGTATCTTCCAAACCATAACTAAGGTCATATTTGGTACAGTGACAATCATAATGAAAAAACAAAACAAAAAAAAACAAACACGATTAAACAATGTATTCATTCAGAATTGAAATGAAAAAGTATTTCATAAAATTTGAAGTATCATAAACCTTCTCATTCCTATTGTAACTTTAGATGTGGCATTGATACATATACTTGAAGCTGCAATCTAATCATGTAAATTTTAAGATTGTGAAAGTAAGTACGTAAACCGCATTAATTTTGGCAAGCCTTATTTTAATTTGATTTGAAAAGTGTTGTGACATTTATTGTCATCTTTATTGTAATGTTGGACTCATTATTGCCATCATTTACTGCAAAATTTGTTATAAATTTTACATGTTTAGGTAAGATTTAAGAGGATTTCTTGAAAATAAGGGACATTTCGAAAGACGGATCGACGTGGCTCTGCCTTAGGGCCACAGGGTAGTACACAAATGAGGAGTAAATACCAAAAAGTTATCCTAAAATGTGGAATCTCGTTTCTCATCATGTCCTATATTGTCTCTAATGCTATCGTTGGAGATTAAAGACGACTCATGACTTGATTTAACGACGAATGTCAATAGTAGATCGAAATATCTCTTGTATTGGAATAAATATTGGAATTGAAAATCTTGGATGTAAAAAGGTTTATTGTAAGAATACAGCTGTAATAACTGAAGCAGATAAGACGCTTGTTAGCCATTTATGGACATTGATCCTAAATATGACAGAGCATCTATCATCCACATCTTCCTCCACAATTCGTTTTGGGATATATTCAGTGTGACCTACCTTTGCCTTCATGTCTTCTACCAAGTGGTACAGGCTGCGCTGCCGAGGCGAGTCAGCCGCCGAGTCTCGTTTCTGCCCCGAGTCTTGGCCATATGTCTGAGCACTCGCCCCTCGCCCCTC